AATCTTTTTAAGAGTAGAATGTGAACGTTTTAAAACAATAACTCAGAAAATGACATGAAGGCTGTGTTGACCAGTTTGATGGAAGTAGTTCGGATTGCATGTGAAAACCCCACACTGTACCCCAGAAGTGCATTAATGTACATAGTTACCATTCAATAAAAAAAAAAAGAATATACATTGTTCTCATTGTCCCATGAAACATTTTTTAAAATTGATCATATCCTAGGACACAAAACAAACCTCAACAGAATCAAAAGAATTGAAATTCTACCTTGCATCTTCTCAGACCACAGGCACTAAAAGTGGAACTCAACTCCAACAAAAAGGTTCAACCTCACACAAAGGCATGGAAGTTAAACAGCCTTATGCTGAATGACAGTTGGGTGGAGGATGAAATAAAAAAGGAAATCATTAACTTCCTTGAGTATAACAACAATGAAGACACAAACTACCAAAACCTGTGGGATACTGCAAAAGCAGTCCTGAGAGGAAAATTTATTGCTTTAGAAGCCTACATTTGAAAAACAGAAAGAGAACACATCAACAAACTCACAAGCCATCTGATGAAATTGGAAAAAGAAGAACAATCTAAGCCTAAACCCAGCAGAAGAAAGGAAATATCCAAAATTAAATCAGAGATTAATGAAATTGAAAACAAAAGAATCATTCAGAAAATTAACGAAACAAGGAGTTGGTTTTTTGAAAAAATAAAATAGATATTTTGGCCAGACTAACTAGAAATATAAAAAGTAAAATCTATGGTAACCTCAATTAGAAATGATGAAGGGCAATAACAACTGATGCCACAGAGATACAAGAGATTATCTCTGAATACTAGCAGAAACTTTATGCCCAGAAATTTGACAATGTGAAGGAAATGGATCAACATTTGGAATCACACCCTCTCCCTAGACTTAGTCCAGATGAAATAGATCTCCTGAACAGACCAATTTCAAGCACTGAGATCAAAGAAACAATAAAAAATCTCCCAACAAAAAAATGCCCTGGTGTGGATGGCTTCTCCCCAGAATTCTATCAAACCTTCAAAGAAGAGCTTATTCCTATACTGCAGAAATTATTGCAAAGAAAGAATCTTCCCCAACATGTTCTATGAAGCAAACATTACCCTGATACCAAAACCGGAAAAGACCCAAATAAAAAGGGGAATTTCAGACCAATTTCACTAATGAATGTAGATGCAAAAATTCTCAACAAAATCTTAGCCAATAGATTACGGCTTATCATCAAAAAAGTCATACATCATGATCAAGTAGTTTTCATCCCAGGAATGCCAGGCTGGTTTAAGATACACAAGTCCATAAATGTTATTCACTGTATCAACAAAAGTAAAACCAAAGACTATATGATCCTCTCACTAGATGCAGAAAAAGCATTTGATAAAATCCATCATCCTTTTCTAATTAGAACATTAAGGAGTATAGGCATAGTTGGCACATTT